CCGGCTCCTCGGGAAGTGCCGAGCGGAGCGCGCTGCCGGCGCTATTTAAGGAGTCGCCTGACGTCAGCCGCGCGGGTCCCCCGAGCCCGCGCCGCGCCGGGGGACCTGGCCCGCCCTCTGCGCGCCCCCTTCTTACCCCTCCCAGGCACTCACCACCCCAGGCCCTCTCCACGCAGACCGCTCCCTAGGGAGCCCTGGCCAGCTTGGAGCGATGAGGGGAGGGTGTCGAGGCGCGTGCTCCGCCGGGAGGGGACACCCTCACCACGCTGGCTTCTCGACACCCAGGAGTAGAAACCCTGGTCGAGATCGCGCCAACATCCAGACCACACATAGACCCGGGCGCATTTTGCAAGCGCCCTGCCCTGATGCGCGGTCCCACCCCACTGGCCCCCACACGCACGCACATTCACAGGAGCACACGCACCCCAGCCCGCACACACCCCTACAGCACGCACGGAGGTGAGGAGGAGAAATGCCCTGACCTGGGCATAGAAACACCAACAGGGACACTCCCCCCTCTCCCGCCATCCGGCCAAACGGACACACACAGCTCGGAATCAGACATCGTGCCGTGTGCGCACACACGACCGGGACTGGGACACACGCTGTAGACGGGTAGAGGGGAGGAGCCGAGCGTGAGTGAGATTCCGTGACTGTTCATCGAGCGCCTTCGCCCCCCGCGCGCTGACTCACACCCCGGCGGCTCGCTCTGTCTCTCACCCGGGATGCGCGCGACCCCACCCCGTTGTCACTCTACCTCTCCCTGTGCCCAGCCAGAGTGTGAGCCCCGGAGCAGCCGGCTCCGCGCCAGGCGGGTTCCTCTCTTAGCGGCCTCCCCCTAGCGGTGGACCGATCCGGGGGCGGGGGGAAGCTGTCCAAGGTACCACCGCGTCCCTAAGGGCCAGGGTGCCGCGGACTACTTCACGCAGTGGCACTAGGAGGAGGAAACAGTGGACAGGGAAGACTTATCCAGGAGCTGTCCCACTTCGAATGATTCTTAAGTGACTGCCCATGGGACAGTTCTCAGTGACCAAGCCCAGAACAGGCTTGAGTGACAATACCCAGTACTACCCTAAGGGATCACACTAGTACCTTGGATCAGAACCCTGCATCAACAGGCCTAAAATGGCCACGACCAAGAACACAGCTGAGTTGTCCCTCTGCAACAATGCCAAGTCACTATGTCCAGGTGTTCACAAAGTGAGTACCCCCATGAGATGTCTGCATGACCACCATCATCCCTGCCCCCATCCAGGATATGACTGACTTCTTTCTTCAGGGCATAATCTGATAATAAGCCTCTGTGGACCTTAGCACAAATCAGGAAACATTTTGTCCCCAAACCAAGCCCATCCCTAGAAACCTTAGACCAATCCCTCTACTTCAAATAATAAAATAGCTGCCAAATCTGTGCCGAGCACTTGGCGTGTGTCGACCCATTTGCTATTCACCACAGCCTGCAAGAGTGTTACCATTATTTCCACATCACCTTGCTTTCGTAATTCTAACAGTAACTAACATTTATTGAGTGCTTGTTTTGTGCCAGTAATGTACTAATTACTTGACGTGTATTGCCTCATTTATCTTTGGAGACAGGTATAATTATAATTCCTAATTTACAGAAAGTGAAAAGAAGGTTTAACAAACACATACTCAGCAATTGGCAGAGCTGAGATTAAACTCAGGCAGTCTGACTCCAAACTTCAAGCTCTTAATTGCAGTGCTCTTACCACTCCCTAACTTCCTTTGACCATCATTTATATAATTCCATCCTAGGCTCCTCTCCCAGATGTGAATTATTTAGTCTATGTCTCTTCTAAAATCCGGAACCTGGGACTGAATGAGGAATTCCAGGTATAGATTGAAAAGTTCAACAGGACTCTTACCTCCCTTCTGTAAGCTCTATTTCTAGTAAAGCCACCAAAGACTCCAGTATCTTTTACTTGTAGTTACATCACACTGCTGACATCTCAAGCTTGCAGCCAAGTAACATGCCTAAATGTTTCGTACAAGTGCTGCTGATTAAGGCCCATCTACCCCTTACTGTGCTTGTACAGTGGACTTTTATGGACCCAACGTTTAGGACACATTTGACCTGATTAAATTTCATCTTGTCTCATCAGTGCACTGCTCTGGTTTTTTTTCCAAATGTCTACTTGAATCTCAAGTTATGATGTAGCTTTCATTTATTCAAAAAGAAAAAGTAGAAAGATTGTATCCCAGATTTACCCTTGATTCCAGGTGTATTTTGGGCAAGTGGATTGCCCTCTTTGGGCCCAAATTTTCTCAGCTATAAAATGGGGAGTTATGATTAACCTCAAAAGCCTCTTGGAGTTCTGATGTATAATTCTATGATTCTATTATCCAAAGCATGAGCCACTCTCTTTGCATCACGTCATCTCCACATTTGATTACAATTTAATTAACTCTTCACTCAAATTGTTAATAAAAATGTCAAAACGAATGTGTTGAAAAGAGTTCTGATATATACTTTCAACATTTTTTTCACATAATGAGACTGCTATTTCTGCACTCCATTGTTAAAATTACAAGGTTAACTGTGCAGTAATCCACTCTGACAAGCTCTTTATTTTTCTTAAGAAAAAACAAAAACATGGATACAGCTATTTCTCATAACTATGTGCTTGACTCAATTTTTAAATTATTTTTAATCTTTAAATGCATAAACACTGAAATTCCCGGGTATTCAGATACATCAGAGCCAGACAGATTTTTCTCTTCTAATTGTCAACCAGAGTAATAACTGTGACTTGGATAGAAACTTTCAAGGAGTGAGGCAGTGAGTGGATGTGCCCGTCCATCATCCCATCCCTATCTTTTCACAGTAGCACCGTGATTCTCCTTTGGGAGTAGGAGGTAGGATTATGTTGAGTTGTGTGGTCTGTCAGTTAACACTCACTTACGCAAAACATGTGTTTATTTTTCTATCACATGGAAGTCCAGATGAAGATGATTCAGAGCTGGTATGGGAGCTCCATGATGTCAGGGAGCCAGACTCTTCTGTCTTGTTGCTCCACCATGTTTCCTCCATTCTAAAGTCACCATGTAGTCCAAGATGCCTTATTCGTCTCCAGCCATCATGTTCACATTCTGGCCAGCAGCAAGGAAGAAAAAGACAGAGAAACACATGCCATGTTGCTTTAAGGACATTTCTTGGAAGCTGCCTGCATTATTTCCACCCATATTCCATCAGTCAGAATGTTGTCACATGGCTTTCGAGCTTCAAGAGATCCTTCAGAGTGTAGTCTTGATTTTGGTGGCTATGTGCCTGGCTAAAACTTGGGGGTTTTATTACCAAGGAAGAACTAAAGAACAATTATGGAGGACAACCAGTAACCTCTACCATCCCTGGAGAAACAGTTTTCCCTTATTCTTTTCCTAAGTGGTTGTGTGGGCTGAGTCTAGTTCACAGACAAACATATAACCAAGCCCAATGCCGTCATTTTCTAATCATATATCAATGACAAAAACCAATTCAAATCTTTGCAGTGAGAATACTGCAGAACTTTTACTGAAACTGTTGGATAAAAGAAATTCTTTTTCTCCTGAGATGATGAACTAGTCT